TCGCACTCAGCATTACTGTGTGGAATTACGAGAATAGCACATAAAACTCTTGCTAGTCTATCATATTTTGGTGTTCCATCAGCTCTTTTTATTTTATTTAGGTACCAACGAGGACATCAAGTCTATCTTCTCCAGAACTGGCAAAGTCTTCAAACTGTGCAGCAGAAAATTGGTTCTGTAGTTCATCTAAAGCATCATTATGGCATTCATTTTCTTTAATTGTTAACAAACATGGAAATTTATCAATAAAAAAACGAATCTTTTCAAAAGATGAATTTTCAATTTGTTTCAAATTTGCCACTTCAGCATTTAAAACAACTTCATTTTGCAAAGGAAACTTCCTTACAATGTAATCACAGGCTGAGAAAAAGTACTTTCTAACACATTGAAAAAATTCTTTTTTCTCATGATCTTTCAAAGAATTTACAAGTTCCCTGGTTTGATTTTCAATTATAAGATCATTGTCATCCTTTTGATTTGCCAAACTATTATAGGCAACACGAATCAACACACTGTTTTTCACAATGGACGGTTTTACAAACTTAGTATAAAGTTCTTTCAAAAGATCATTAACAATTTGGATAAGAAGGGGAGATTTTGGCGAAGCTGATTGTAGAAGGGTATTTACACTTTCAAAAATCTTAATCGTACTTAACACAAAACTGCAATATGCTTTGTTCAAGACTGTTTCTTCTTCCCTTCAACTTCTTTAACAAAGTTGACCTTTGAGGAGTCTTCTAAGCATTTTCTTTTTAAAGGGTTTGATTCTGTGTGTTGGCTTTTCCCTTTTAAAGCATTTTGATTAGAAGCAAAGTTGGTTTTCGGAATCTTATATGCCGACAAATTTGATGGGATCTGTGGTTTCGTTTTGGTCTCTTCGTGGAAATATTTTAGCAATGCATCCCACTGTTCAATAAACCTTCCTAGCGCTCTGCCTAAGGATAACCATCTCATACATACATGTTTCGGAATTTTTCTCGTTTCACCAGAGCACAGTTTTTGGAAATTCTTTAGGTTTTCTTTCCTTTTTACACTTTTTCCAGATAGAAAAACACATCAATCAGAAGCTGGTCAATATTTAACGGTAAAGCAGGCATTTAATGGTAATGGCAGCTTTTTCTGCTGCCAAATTAATTAAGTGGCATGGGCATCCAATAACAATTAATTCATTTTGTTCTTTTTTGAGGAAAGAGGCTATAACCTTTTTGTCACCCACCATGACATGAGCATTATCTGCACCAAATGAAATGCAGTTTGATATTGGGATGTTAAGTTGTTTAAACTCATTAATTACCATGGAGGCAATATTTTCCCCCGTAGCATCTCCATTTAACAATGGAAGACGCAAAAGATGAGTTCATTAGAGACAAATATGTGACAACGATGGGGTAAAGCTTCCAATCGCTGTCGTTGCTGCCATCGATTGACACCGAAAATGCTGAATTCTGGAGTGCAGCTATCGTTTTACTTTGTGCATCGCAAGCAATTTCGTTCACAATAGAAGATGTTTTCGTGCGAGCACAAGCATATTTCTGAGCAATCTTGGAGTCGGAAACATCCGTCTGAAAAGTTGACCGGCGTGATCGGCAGCGCTTAGCGGCACGTTGTGTTCGATGAGGAATGCAGTAAACAAACACTCTGCCAAAATGACATCGGCATCCGAATTTGTAGCCGAATTTGAAAAAAAATCATCCCCTTTCTTTGACGTTGTCGAAGCCGAAGCATTAACTTCATGCTTTTTTAGACTTAACATGCTTCACAATGTCGCTTCTTTCACCGTGACTTATTATGAAGTCACACACACACATGTTGCAAAATGCATAGTTATTTCCTTTAAAGGATTATTTAATTGTTGGAAATTCGGCTTTGTAGGCAGGCCGAAAATATTGAGAATACGGTTTTTTTGAACTCATTTGAAATGAGTGACATTTCGTAACAACGACGTATTAAGAAAATTCTTAGCACGTGAGGAAAAAAAAAAAAGAAAAAAGAAAAAAACAGAATGCGACAATCCACGCTCGCTGAGTAATTCCCTTGCTGCTGAAGCGAACACACACAAAAAAAAAAATAAATAAAAAAAAAAAAAAATAAATAAAAATAAATAATAATAATAATCTGGCACCCACAAAGAAAAGAATGGGAGAAACAAGTTCAGCGCATTGGATTGGCTGGTTAAGCGGCGAGTTGGGAGAAACCGTAGGTTACTGGATTCGAAGTAGTCGGTAGTTGGCGGTAAAACACGATGCAAGCGGCGAAAAATTCTAAAATTTCGACAAAAATCACTAAAAACACTTGAAAAAGGAAAAAAATCGTAAAAAATGGATTATGATCGTAAAATCGTAAAGCCAAACGCATTTTCGTAAAAATTACGAAAAATTCGTAAAAGTTGGCAGGTATGTAATTGTCATTGATTATTTCACCAAGTGGCCTATTCCTGATCAAGAGGCCGTCACAGTAACAGAGCTCATGATACAGCACTGGATTTCCAAGTTCGAAGGTCTCTTCAGTTACATTCTGATCAGGGAAGGAATTTTACCTCGGCTGTTATCAAAGAACTCTGCAAGCTGCTCGGCATTGACAAAACCCAAATGATGCCCTTATATCCTCAGTCGGACGGCATGCTAGAGAGCATTAATCAAATCATCCTTAAGCAGCTCTCATTGGTTTCCAGAAACCAATAAGACTGGCACAAGAAGTTACAACTGATTTACTGGCTTACTGCAGTGCTGTCCACGAGACTACTAGCTATCTCTATCTCGGATGCTCTTCGGTTGTGACTTTCGTCTGGCTTGTGATCTTCTGTTTGGTTGCTCTCCGGATGTGCCTTCATCACCTGAGGAATACATTCTTCAGGCCCGGTTTGAAAGTGATGCACAATTTTGAACGAGAGCGAGTCAACTTGGCGACAGAGAAGATGAAGATTGATACGATAGAACAGCTACTGGACATTAACTCAACGAAGGAAACAAGGTGTGGTTATGGAATCCGACTCGATGGAAAGGATTCTGTCCTAAACTACACTCACATTGGGATGGTCTGTACACAGTCCTAAACAGGCTGAACGACGTCATGGTTCAGATTCCGTAAGTCTTCGAACTCTAAACCTAAAATCGTTCATTACGACAGGTCAGCTCATTACTATGGCCATAGTACGTAGCATATAAAATTGTAAATAGTATAAGACAATGGTCCTTTTTATTTCTAAATTTGTAAAATTTATACACTCATTTGATTTGCATTTAATATTTGATATTATTTGATTTGTTTTAAGTTAGTTATTGCATTTATTGTTCATGTTGTTTGTTATTGCATTTATGCCTTAGTCGTAAGTTACGCTTCATGTCCAGGGATTGTACTGCCTGGGACGTGCAGTCCTTGGGAAGGGGGCAGTGTTACAGAATTTGTATTATTTAGCTATTTTTAGTAGGACTTATAATTATAATTGTTTTATATTCCCGTGAAATGCAGCAATGAGACTTATTTGAAGAGAAACTACGCTGGAAAAATTAAAATACAGGAGCATGCACTTTTAACATTTTTATTAAATAGATATCTCGGAATTGTACTCTTGCTCTCCAAAGAAATCGAGAAAATACGAGAATTTTGTTGTGCATTTAAAAAGCTTATAAAAGCTGGAGGAAAACATCTCAATTCAGTTGTTTAGAAACTGTTGTTGTTTACTGTAGCAAATTCGCGATGAGATTGGATTAGCTTTCTCTATGTTTTTCTGTTTAAGTTCTGTTGAACATTTTAGTACTTTAAAAGATAAGTACTGTGGGACATTGCAATACTGTACGAATATCTCTTACGGAAATTTAAGCATTTTGTTTTTATTTGTTCTGATACGAATAAATTTTATTCACTTTTCTTCAGACTTGTGCATTCAATTTTTTACGAACCTGTATGCACCCAACAATATGAAAACAAAAATTAAAAATATGATAAATGTTTCAGCTGTGCATAAAAACAAAAGGACTCATGAATTTAACATGTTCCTTCCAGGAAGGAGCCGGATATACTAACACCCAAATCCTTAAATAAATGCATAACAAAATTTAAAACCCAAGCATAAATAAAGCGTAGTACAGCTGTTTATCTTCCATGTAAAGATGAATCAGCATAAGAACTAAGAAAAAATTGCTTAAGCCTGAGAAGCATTAGCTGCTCCGAGGATCAAAGTAACTTTCAGTGTCATAAATTAAAATTTCAATAAAAAATACACATTTACAATAATCACTTATGATTGTCTGACTTGTCAATCAAAGAACTGATTCAAGTTCTTTGAGTCAATGGATCAAGTGCATGTCATAACAGGAACTCCCAAGGTACGTTTATTGTGTGTCCCAGTTTTCCAAGAATTTAGTGCTACACTTGCCTTGCATAGCCTTTTGTTTAGAACATAATGGAAAGTGTGGGTGAAGATAAAAGAAAAGTAACCTAACGGTGCTTTTCATTACTCTAATGCCTTAAACAAAATGAATTTAGGTATAAGTAATTTTTTTCATCAAATGCAGAAATTATTAACCTTACGATATCAATAATGTTCCTTGCATCCAATTTTAATATGTCTAAAAGTGTACTATTGCTGCATAAAATAACATTAAATCTATAGAATATTAGACAGAAATAAAAAGTTCATTCGTTATATCTGAGAGTTCATTATAAGCTGGATTTGTTATACTAAGATTTGACTGTACTGCTTTTCATTAAATATTACTAATTATTTACTCTCACAAAGCAGTATTTTTTAAATGCAAAATGCATCATGATTAAACAGAAACACTTTGAAATTTTTATGTTTTACACCTAAACAGAAGAGCTAGGTTATCATTCCATAATATTTTTTCTTACTGGTCCCTAACTTCAAACACAAAACAGAACAAGTTATATAACATACTGAAAAATTAGCTTGCTCGCTGCATTTGGCTAAAATTTTACCCCCTTGAAAACAAAAGTGTATGCAGACATACTCATTCTTTAACATAAAAACAATACACAAAACAATTTTTCGCTATATGTAATATTAAAAAAAATTACCTTCTGGTCTTTTCTCAACAAAAACTCTAACAGCACCAAATTCACCACAGAAGTCATGAATAACTAAAATAAATAAGATGTTAAAATTTTAAATAAATCATTTACTTCAAGTTATGCAAAAAATTACTAGAAAAATCTTGAAAAATTGTATCCTGTATTCTTAAGATTCAGCTAATATATATCTGATATTATGATACATAGTTTGAAATAAGATTCACATCTCTATTAAAATCAAATTATAATACAATAACCTATTAAAACTAAAGAATTTTGCATCATACCTATGAAAGTAAACACAGTACAAAGTCCGAGATCAGGATGTCCAGTATCTGGAATGGTCTAAAATCTGGACATCAAAGCCACCACCAACTTTTTTTTTTCTCCCTATGCTTTACGCATGCGCATTTGATTCCCCCCCTCCGCACATAATAAAACATGTGGGGAGTTCCGATTCTCAATTTCACTTCGGCACTAAATAAAACATCTCGTTACAGAAGAAATCTTTTTAGCGTAAATTTTTATGATCAATAATCTGGTTCCATTTCTGCATATCTGCTTGGCATACATCTCAAACTGAAACATTCTACATACATACATCATGGATTTTACATGCACTAATATTTTATATTCCTGACGCCAAACCTGGCGAATCATTATTTATTATATTTTGCTTTCATCACCGCATGTTTATCAACTCATGACAATTTGAGTAATGACTCATGCAGCAATGCCTATACAAATTTTTTATGTTAGCTATTGAATAATAAGGAGTACGGTAACTTTTTATGTTGACATTATGCTTGGCGATGATTGCAGATTTAAGTTAAATGCACAAAGATATAAATGTGGACGAGGGAAAATTTAACAAAATTTCTTTTCATATGCTAAAAATAGATTTTGTTAATGATACTCAAAGGCCAAAAGATTACATTTAGTGCTATTTGAATTATGAATAACTGATTTGTTATTCAAATAAACACAGAACCAGCACCAGGGCTTGTATGGCCGCACCTGGCGCAGAATTTAGAGAAGACAAAGGGAGGCATGTGGTAGCAGAATTTAGGACTCGCAGAGAATGCATCAGGCGGTAAGATACCTAGCATCGACCCTCAATAAGTATAGGTGGGAATTTATTTATTCAGGACTCATATAAACCTTAAGCATATGCAAAAAATAGCTTAAGTATAATAAATTACTAAACTAATATAGTTCATGCTTAATTGTCTCAGTATGCAATATAAGCAAGATAAAATTTAGCAGAAGTCCTTGTCTTAGTCGCCAATCTCATGATACATAGCCAAATATGTATAGTGAACGATAGCTAAATTTTATGATGATAGCCACGAATTTTAAAGGTTTTCAGATATCGCAAAGCAAGGTGAAATTTTCCAATTAACGGATTTTGTAAAGAAATATGGAGAAGCAGTAATAAATGAAGATGATATAAAAAGAGTTTTTCATTCTGATCACAATACTCCGCAATCATCAATCAATTAATGGTTGGCGGAATCAGTAATATGGTTCTAGATCCAGAAAATACTGCTACCGATAGTGAAGAAAGTGACACAGAGGCTACTGAACATGAAAAAATTTTGATGACAAGTTAATCGGAATTTTCCAACACAGCAATTACAGAACTTTAACAATGTAACTAAACAAGAAATTATATCTGTCTACAAAATTAAAGAGAAAGTATTAGCACAAAAAAACGAAGCAACTTAAACAACTTACACTGAAAGAAATGTGTACTAAGGTAAACAAATAAATATTAGTTTTTTTTTTTTTTAAATTTGGGTACCCTTTAAATTATAAAAGCTTCATTATTTCATAAATCATGATTTCATATTTTAAATTTTATAATTTCTACATGCCATCCTACTAGATTTAAACTGATGATCTAATACAGTCAAAAGTCGTTAATCCGGACTCGTCGGGACTTCGGCGATTCCGGATTATCGATTTGTCCGGATTATAGATCATCAGTTTAAATCGCATAAGATGGCATGCAGAAATTCTAAAATTAAAAATATGAAACCGTAATTTATGAAATAAAGAACAATTATGATCTAAAGGGTATCAAAATTTACAAAAAAAAAGCTTAATATTTATTTGTTTACTTTATTAAACATTTCTTTCAATGTAAGTTGTTTAAGTTGCTTCGTTTTATGTGATAATACTTTCTCTTTAATTCTATAAACAGATATAATTTTTTGTTCACTTACAAAGTTCTGCAGTTCAAGTCCCGTTAATTGCTGTGCCGAGAATACCGACTAACTTGTCAATCGAATTTTTTTCGTTTTCACTAAACTCTCTGTCACATTCTTCATGTCTTTATCCATTTTTTGCAGCAATTCCACTTTTTGTTTGATGCACATCGAAACGTACTTTCGTTTTGTACGATCCTTTGGGAGCTCCAGAATCAAAAATTCTATTTGACATAATCGAAAGTTCCGTTTACTTTTATAGTATTGCTCTTACAGTGTGCAAAAAATAATAAGCCGGATCCAATTCGAAAATTAAGGAACAACGCAATCATCAACATTAACTGAAATAGATAATTAGATAATTTTAGCTTACACCGTCCGTTATACATAAAACGCGCACGCAAAAACGTATTCTGCGCTTGCGCACACGCAAATGCGCAGTCGTAAGAGGTCTTACGCGCACGCGTAAACGCCTATGCGCATGTGTCAACGCGGCGCATGCGCAGAAAGTTTTTAGTTTTGAGGTCCGGATTATAGATCATTCCGAATTATGGGTGTCCGAATTAACGACTTTTGATTGTATCCGGAAAAATCCCAATCCCGGAAGGCTCGACGAGTCCAGATGTCGTACTTGTACTATATACAATGCCTTAGCACTTATATTTTACACACCTTATTACATATATGCAATAACATTTCCAAAAGAATCTTTTAAAATAAATGAAATGAAATTAATCTGAAATATCCACGTGATTTCATAACTAGTGATTTTGATATATAAAAATTTATCAGCATCTGCATATCACAATTTTTAAATTTTACATATACGTGCAAAACATTTAAAGATTTTAGTTATATAAATAAGCGATATTCTAAAGTTGAACTATTGGCCAGTTGTTTAAGAAAATTACACAGATTTCCACTGCAATATTGCTATGCATTCCAGCTTCTTACAGGGATTTTACTGTCTTCTTAATATTGTGAAAGTTTATTATCAGACAAAATATGACAATTGAAACCCTGATTTTACACAGAACTGAACCAAACTTAATTCGATGTGAAAGAAAAGGATGCATTTTTTCCTAAGAATTGGTAAATTATACTTTAATTGGGTGCTCTCCATTAAATCTGGGGATAGAACTGAGAAAAGTCATACAGTAATCTATATGGTGCCGAAGGCTCTTGCCAACGATAGGTGCAAATTTGACCTCTTCTCATGATGAATTTTGTGGGCTTGTGCTGATATCAGAGACCTAATCTGATTTCAGGCTGTGATATCAGATGATTTTTGTTTGTGGCTCATATTACCTGACTGTCAATCGGGTGGGATGAGCTATAAACAAACAAAAATAAATTTAAAAAAAAGAAATGAAAAACCTTCTAAAAAGTGTTGTGTGTGCTACAACAGAAATATTAGAAGTAATACTACCTGGCAGTATAAGCAATGCAAGATACCTCTGCACCCGCTAAAATGCTTTGAAATGTATCACTTTGAATTCCAAATCTTGCTGATTATTAGTTATACACGATTTTTCTTGATGAAACTATATGAATTATTAAATAAAACATGTTTTCTTTATAAAAGTTTGTATAAAATAATAACTAATAAGCATTAATTTTTTTATGCACAACTCAAAATTAAATTGTAAGGCAAATAAAGGGTTAACCCCCCCCAAAAAAAACAACACCTAAACTGTGTTCAACTTTGTTAATGTTAATGAAATTGTAACAAACATGCTTAATCATCACCTGTTCAAGAGTTTTTGTGAGCATAATTTAATTACTATGAAGAACTGGCAAAGAAGTGGCTAAAATTCATTTTCATAATTAATTCAAACTTCTAGTAAGCAGAAACTAATTGAAAGTGACAATAGCTGGTGAAAAAGTTCAGCAACATCATTTATAATATTTATTCAATAGTCACAGTAACACAATGCAACAGATTCACCACTCAGGTTCTGTTTGATATTTGCCACAAAGAAATTTATAGCAAAAATAAAATTTCACTGCCATTTCAAAACCCAAAGAATTTTTTTATTTAATGTGAATATAAAAAGAGCTGGACAACATTCTTTTGAACCTAGTAGTACTTGCATGTAATGTCATCACTGTAGAAATAGGAGTTACCATTTTTTGTTTACATTATTTTAAAATCTGACCTCCATGTAAAAGCCAAACACTCTGGTAAACTTGATTGAAGAAATATGTGTTAGGAAAAGAAGCTAATTGTGAAAAGTAATAATGTAAGGCACAGTATATAGGTTTATGTCATAAAGTAATACACTTTGCACTTTCAACTCATTCATTTAATAACTTATTTTATGTATATGAAGCCAATGATGTTAAGTTACTATCTGATTGAAGTTATTTTTAACTTGTTTCTTATTAGTTTGTTAACAGCAATCATTATTAATCAAGCTGGATCATATACAGTGCAATACTAATATGTTTTAACTGCTACGACAATGTTTGATTTCTATAATAATCAAGATATTTATTGTTTCAGATACTTTGTCATTAATATCATCTTCATGATTATCAATTTGTAAATAATGTGAACAATTCCTTATGAATGATTCTATGTAAATATGTCAGATTTTTCTTCTTTGCACTTCCAAGTATTTGTAATTTCAGAGCATCTGTGTATATATTTAAACAAAGTACCTTACACATGATGGTTCTTAAATAGACTAAGATAATGAGCTGAATATTTGTGAGTTTTAAGACCCAAACAGCTCTCTTCATGAGCCTTCTTTCTTGATTATTATATTTTATACTCATTGTACACTATAACATCTCTCACTATATAATTGCATTCCTTTTTTTCACTTCTGCTATTGCCGCTTTGCCCCCCTTTTT